AAAAAATAAAACCAGAAACCAACTGAAAGCAAATTTCCCATGGCTATTGCCTAATGCTAAAAAAACATTAAGAATACTCCCATTGCAAAAATATCTGCAAGTGGGAGAGAATTAGATGAGGAGGGGTTGGTGGCTGGCTGGTGATATGCATCTATTATATATTACACACTCTGTTATGGAGGCTTTACAATTGTCACCTCTGAAAAGTGGGCATAACCTCCCTATTTAAATGTATATAAAATAAAATTACAGGATAGCTTTTACACCAGACAGGCAAAACTGGCAAAATTTAAAAGTCTGACATTACCAAATATTGGTAAGAACATGAAGCAATGAAATTCTTATCCTCTAAAGGATATTGCCATGGAAAAAAATTAGGGCTTTTTCTAATACAATTGAAATGTACCTACCCTATGATTCTGCAATTCCATTCACTAAACGACCCCTGAAATACATGCACAAGAGGACATGACCAGAATCGTTGCAGCAGCACTGTTTATAAGAGCAAAACATAAATCTGGAAAAACTTAAATGTCTAAAGGAGAGGAATACATTTTTTTTTTTTCAAGATAATTGAGAACCTGCAGTGAATGTGATGGTTTCCTGTTATTTTAAATTGCTAAGGTTACAATGCCTGGAATCAGTTCTGCCTTCAAAGCCAAGTGTTCATTCTCCACCTATCAGGAAACCCATTTGGCATAGAGACCATCCCACGAAATGTAAGTTTCAGATCCACAGAATTATTAGCAAAGAGCAATGTCAGAAGTGTCCAGTAAGAGGCACTGCAGGGGACTGGGATGGCCTGTCTTCATGTCATACATTTTGGGGCAACTATACCTGTTAGTCGTGGCATACATACTAGTCCTCAGGCTAAGAAACAAGATAGGACACAAATGCATCTATTCATAAAGTGAAAATGAAAAAAAATAGCATAAATAAAAAGATTTAGAAATAACTTTCAACACAGCTCATAGCAATAGTTCTGAATGCAAATCATATGACTTTTATAAAAACAGTAATACCTTTGTTTTGTTTTGGATGAGGACATAAATCCTGAAGAACATGCATATACAGAGGAACTTCATTTACTGCTGGTGGTAGGGGAAAGAAATAATAATCTCTGTTTACAGCTTAACAAAGAGGTCCTGAAAGAATGGGAGCCCTATTGAGAGATCCTTCAAAAAGATCTGTGAAATCAATACTATGTTCATCATAATATTAAGATCTTATATGCCTTTTTTATTCTCATTCTCTCATTAGTGTATGGTGGACCTTTTCAGAAATGATATGACATATTGTATCATGAGACTGATTGCAGAAGCAGATTATGAGAATCATCCAGTCATCTTCTAGTAAGCCAGACATCAAAGAGAGATGCATCTATGTAGAACAATGCTACTTTTCTCAATAAGCCTGTTTAGAAAGTAATTTTTCATAAATTGTATGATATTTGCCTTAACATGTAATGGGTTTATTGTTACTTAAGAATGTAAATGTTTAAAAATTATCACTTTTCATTTCTAATATAATAATATTGACAGGCATAACTAAATAGACAAAAGCACTTTGGAATCCCCAATACTTTTTAAGAGTGTACAAATCTGCAAACCACCAACCTTCAGCTTATCACAGGAAGTTTTGCTGCTAGCACAATTTGCTGCATCTCTGCTCCTGTGGTTGCTTTTGTCTCACTGTCCGTGATCTTACAAAGACGATCAGAAAGAGCTTGACCAAGAATCTGTTGAATGGAGATTACATTTTGCATCTTTTCCTACATCTCATTGCCCTGTGGGATAACTCTGGGGTGTCTCCTGATAACTAGGGTAGCAGGTCCCTGTTGATATCCCATTGGTAAGTTTTAGACAGGAACAGTCTTCAGGCTCTATAGTCGTTGAAGATCACAATGGGACGCCTGCCTTACAGAAATTAATCAGTATGAATCAGGCAGGTTCATGATACTCCTTAGAAGCCATTTGGGATAAGTTCCACTTTGTGGTCATTCCATACAGGCCAATGCAGACTATGCAGTGCTCAAATGGGATTTGGAAAGGAATGAATAATTAATTTAGACGTTCAACTTGGAATAGACTAAAGAAGACATTACTGGTGATGAAGGACTTAGATGCTAGAAAATCAGGCTCAAAGACTTTCAAGCCACTTCCTAGTGTGATGCCACATTCCTTCCTACGCTCTACTGGGGAAGGCAGGTCTGCCCTGCCCACGGTGGCAGGGAAATACCCAGGCATGGAAGTGGCCTGACAGGACTCGGGTCACTGTCATATTTTCCACTCTCCACGAGGTCCGGCACGTTCCAATTCGGTAGGCAGGTCGACCCCGGGCCGGGAGTCTGCAGCTGAGCCAGGCATGGGTGGCGGCCCTGACGGTAGGAGAGGTGTGTAGGAAAAGAGGTGGCGACAATGTGCGTCACCAGAGGCCAGGGATCAGGTCCCTCGGGTGGGCCCCTGACCCGCTAGGTGACCGAGGGGGAGCCGACTCAGTCTCTGGGCCGAGGTGTGGAGCCCGCGGCTACTTTCAGCTCCAGCGGCTCCCGGCCTTCCTCGCTCCTTTCTCGCCGGCCCTTGCCAGGTAGGCCTGCCCTGGCTGCTCCCCAGTGAGCTGGTGTTTGGGGTTTCAGTTTAGACAGCCAGGTGCGGGCGGATCCTGAGGCCGCAGGAGCGTAGGGGAGGCTGCGCGCGACGCGGGCGGGGATGGGGTCCCACGTCCGGGCCCCAGGCCGCGGGATGCGCTGGCGGGGCGCCCTGGCCTCGCGGGGGCTCGGGACGCGAGCCTGCTTCGCTGTCAGGTGGCAGAAGGGGCTCCCACCGGGTCCGCACCGCCGCCGCCCACTCCCCGCCCATCCCCCTCCGCGGAGGGGCGAGCTCCCCGCCCTGGATCCTAAAGGCCGGGCGCCCAGAGGAAGGACACAGGGGAAGGGCAGTCCTTGAGGAAACGTGGGGGCAAAGACCGAGGGCTCCCCAGGAGGAAGGGACGGTCAGCGACCTGGGCGGTTGTCTTTGAGACTCCGAAGTCGCCCAAGCAGACGCCTGGGGCCGGGTCGGCAGCGCCCTCCCCTCCCACCCTCTTCTCCCTTCCTTGCAGCCGGGTTTGGGGATGTGGTCCTTGCTGTTCTGCGGGTTGTCCATCGCCCTTCCACTGTCTGTCAGAGCAGGTACGTTCCGTGTGTCCTCCGTTCCCAGAGACCGCCCTTGTCCACAGGCTCCTGGCCCCTCAAGGGGAGCCCCCAGTGCGAACCCCGAGGATCGCGCCAGCAGGAGCGCGGCTCCTTACTCTCCGCAGACCGCCAGGCGGAGTCCCGCGGAAGAGGAAAAGGCGACTGCTGGGATGCTCAGCCCTGAATGTCGCCTTGGAGCTTGGAGGTGACTTCGGGGAGGGGAGGGAGTTAGGCAAATTGCAAGTGAAGACTGGAGTAAAAATGCTCAAATGGAGTTACTACTGCCTATTTTATATGATAAAGGGTTATTTTATGACACAAGGTGAAAGCAAGGAAATCATCAATAGAACAAATCTCTTCTAAGAAATTTGGTGGAAGTGAACTTTAAAAGTGAAACAATTTTTTTAAAAACAATCGTTTTGGGATGAAATACCTTTTACTCAAGACAGAGTAAAATAACTGGGTGGCAGAGCAGAAACAGAAAAGACAAGAAGGGCTCCTTTACTCTGTGGGGGAAGGATGAAAAGAATTATGGGTCGTAGACTATAAGGGAAAGAGGGAAATCATTCCTAATGGGGAAGACTTGTGAGGAGGGAATGGAGCAAATTATGGATGCATTTGAATAATTTATGGATACATTTGAATAACTTGGAATTATACTTTATAATCAGCAGGCTATTTTTGAGAAATTTCCAGACTCAAGAAACTCCCAAATAAAATTTCAAATTGGCAGGAAAATTGAAGTGGCATTTTAAAAAAACGAATAGTAAATAAAACCAAAGTTTTCTTACATGGTTGTTTTGTTTTTCTTTCCCTAGATGGATGCAAGGACATTTTTACGAGAATTGAAATGCCTTCAGCAAATCAGCCTTTTGCTTTTAATTGTACATTCCCTCCAGTAACATCTGGGGAAGTCAGTATAACTTGGTATAAAAATTCTAGCAAAATCCCAGTGTCCAAAAGCACACAGTTGAGAATTCACCAGGACGAGACTTGGATTTTGTTTCTCCCTATAGCACTGGGGGACTCAGGAATCTACCAATGTGTTATAAAGTAAGTTCCTCATTTAAAATAGAACTAACTCGTGTGTGTATGCATAAATTCTTTTAGGAAAATTCTTAATGAACATAGAAAACTCATTGAGAAGAAATATGTTGTATGTTTTTATAATTGTTACAAGAAGATTTCCAATGAACACATTTTTAAACAGAACAGATTTGTAAATCATTTTTGGAATCTGATGTGCATCTTTTCCCATGGAAATGGCACCTCAGGCCAGACCCAAGACAAAGTGTGTTTGTTTCAATATTATTGTTGCCACCTTCCTTCCTTCCTACCCTCCTTCCTTCCTTCCTTCCTTCCTTCCTCTTTCCTTCCTTCCCTCCTTTCCCCCCTTCCTTCCTTCCCCCTCCCCCTTTTTTTTTTGGACAGACTCTCGCTTTGTCACCCCAGGCTGGAGTGCAGTGGAGCAATGTGAGCTCACTGCATCCTCTGCCTCCCCGGTTCAACCGATTCTCCTGCCTCAACCCCCTGAGTAGCTGGGACTATAGGCGCACTACCACGCCTGGCTAATTTTTGTATTTTTAGTAGAGGCGAGGTTTCACCATGTTAGCCAGGATGGTCTCGATCTCCTGACCTCGTGATCCGCCTGCCTCGGCCTCCCGAAGTGCTGGGATTACAAGTGTGATCCACCACCTCCGGCCGCTGCCATCTTTCTTGAAATGCCAAAAGTTTTTGTGGGAAGTGGCACATCCAGATAGGAATAAGCCTCCTATGCGCCCTTTTCATGAGGAATCTGATTAAGGCAGGGAGTAAGCATCAAGTATGTTCCTGACCTCAGTGGAGAACCTGTGCTAAGAAATACGAGTGAGTAACATAGGCCTGGTGGTGACTGTGGTCAACTGGAGAGCATGTGCCCCTCAAAGGTAGCTGTCTATTCAGGGCAAGCCCATCTTCTCACTTTTCAAGGGAATCTGGAAATTGGAATTTGTGTGTGCAACTTTTATAATTTGTAAAACATTGTAAGGCGTGAATAAAACACATCTGTAGACCAAATTTAGCCTGAGGGCCACAACTTCGTGATTCTCCCAGGCTAGCTTGCACGACCTTAACAAATTACTTGATCTCTCTGAGGCTTGGCTTTTTCTGTAAAATGGAAGTAATGCTGGCTGATAGGGTTGAGGTGAAAGTTAACTGAGACCATGTGTAAAATAGGTACTCCATTCTCTGTCTCTTGTTTTTACTCTGCAGTATTTGCTGGCCCCTTTCTGTGTCCCAGTGTGGCCCGTGGGACGCCCCACTCCGATTCCTGCCAGATTCCTCATTTCTATACGCCAGACAGACTAAATGCACAACATTGAGTAGTTCACAAGTGGAAGTGGTCGTTAGCTCTGCTTGGCTCTCTTCCACAGATTTAGTCACTAATAAACCGCTCAGGGCATGTGGAAGTCTGCTTTCTTATTTTAGTCTAGGCTGTGAATTATTAACTAGACTTGAAGCTTGTACATCACACAAATGAATCTGGATGCTAGATTTAAAATATTTAAATCTGGGTGCTGTGAAATGAGGAAAAATATTCTTTAATAGAAATTAGACAAAATTATTATCTGTCATGAAAGAAAATGAACATGAATTCTCCAAGATTTTTATTAATAACATTCAGATAGAATATATGTTTAGTAAACTGTATATTTTTACCTTTTGCTTTGAAATAATTTTAAATTTACATAAATTTTGCAAGAATAGTATCAAGAACTTCTTTCTGCCCTTTATCTAGATTCCTCATTTTTAAGAATATATCTTTAAATTAATCTTTTAATTTTCACCATATATGATATAAATTATAAACAATATTTTTCTCCTAAACCATTTCAGTTGTATGCATCATACCCTCTTAGCCCTTAACATTTCAATATATGTTTCCTATCAACAGAGTATATTTCCCATTTCCTTTCAATGTATATTTATTCATTTACATAATCACTGTATAGTTATCAAATTCAGGAAACATCACCATCATATAATACCTTAATCTGTAATCTATATTCTGATTTTGTCAATAGTCTCATTGAAGACCTTTATAATTTTTCTCTTTCTTTCCAGTACAGTTACCAATCTAGGATCATTCATCGAATTTGGTTGCCATGAATATTTAATTTCTTTTAATCTGGAACGTTTCCTTAGCCTTTTGGTTTTTATGGTACTGACATTTTTAAGGCAGTTGTTTTGTATTATCTCCTTCATTGAGGTTTGTCAGGCATTTCTTCATGATTAGGTTCAGGCTGTGCCATTTTGGCTGGAATGCTAGGTGAGTGCTTTTTGTCCTCTTCAGAATATTACTCAGAGGCACGTGGCGCCCACTTGCCCCTAGATGGTGATGTTCTTTTTCATCACTTGGGTAAGGTGTTGTCCAGTTTCTCCACTGTATGAAAACCATTTGTCCTATTGTGATGAATAATTTGTATGGTGCTTTGTTAGAGGCAGAGGGTTTGCACAGTACTATGGAAATGATTGGAAAACATTCGAAAATGAGCTGAATTATTTTATTTTGTGATTTTTTAAAGAGTTTATGAGGTCTCAATCTGTCTTACAGGGGTAGAGACAGCTGTCATAGAATACATGTAAACCTAACTGTTATTGAAAAACATTGGTGTGACACTTCTGTAAGTGGTTTGCCGAATTTATCAGATGAGTACAGGCAAATATTACATGTTGGAAAAGATGATAGTCTCACATGTCACCTGCACTTCCCAGAGAGTTGTATTTTGGATTCCACAATGTGGTATAAGGTAAAAAACTTATTTTCTTATTGACATGTTTCCTCGTTTTCTTTAAAACCCACTGTTTGTTATAGGTTAAGTTGTATTTTTAAGGCAGAATTGTTCAAGAAATTTGTGTGCCTAAGATAGTTAGTTAGTAGTCATTGATAATGTTACCTTCCTAATTACTTGTTTATAAAAAAATTTTAGTGATTATAACTTTGTAATATTTTATTATTTGAATCCACCCTCTTCCTCCAGTTCTTATTCTTATTTTTCGGGCTATCCTTGGCTATTCTTGATTTTCTAACATTAATTATGTTTGTTTAAATGCATACTACATGGGCATGGTTCAATAATCACAAATTATAAACGGTCCCCCCCTTGAAAACCTCTTTCCTGCTACTGTTCCATATTTGCTCTAGGCTCCTCACACCTTCCTCAACATGTGGCTATCATGATCAGTGTCTGTGATTATTCTTGTATAATGCTATACTAGCAAATGGAAATATATAGTCTAGGTCTTCCTAGCCCTTCCTTTTTTATGCTCATCTTTCTGCACTTTGTGTTTTCATCTTCCAAGTTTCTCTTTTCTGGATGATCCTAGCATATGTTGACATAGAAGGTAACCCTTGGCATGGAAGAGCACAAGCTAGTTATTTGAGATCGGAATTAGTTTTTCCTGCTTGTTAACACTTGCCAGTGCACCCCTCTGGGTCATGAGTTTTCTTTATGGGAAGGTTTTCATCTATTGATTCAATTTCTTTAGTGGCGAAAGGATTATGCAAATTTCCTACTTTTTCTTGAGTGAGTTTGGTAAGATTTCATGTCTTAGGAAGTTTCCCATTTCGTTAAAAGTTTCATATATTCTGGAAAATTGTTTAGCAGGCCTTCTCTTTTAATGTCTGCTTCTGCAGACGTTAAAACCTTCAAGTATGGTTCACCTTTAGTTATTATTCATTCTCTCTTTCTTACACACACACACACACACACACACACACACTCTTACTTGATAAGTTTCATCAGAGACTTGTCAGTTCTATTACTCTTTTCAAAAGCTAACTTTTGGCTTTATTGATCCTTTCTGTTACGTGTTGCATGTTCATTTAGGTTGTTCAGTTTCCTTTCACAAGAAATGTAGAAGTGAATGTCCTTATACCTGTCTGTTAAGGCACATTTGCCAGTGCATGCATTTCTCTGACATATGATTACTAGCCCTAGAATTGCTCATTTGTAGGGCATGCCGATGAATAAAATATTCAACTTTGTTGATGTTGCACAAATTGCTTTACAGAATTTTGTATTAGTTTATACTTTTGCCAGGAGTATTTTGTTTTATTTTATTTTATGACAGGGTCTCACTCAGTTGCCCAGGCTGGAGTGCAGTGGTGTGATCATGACTCACTGCAGCCTAACTCCTGAGCTCAAGTGGGAGCCCAACTGATTTTTTAAATTGTGGTGACAGAATCTTGCTATGATGTCCAGGCTGATCTTGAACTCCTGGCCTCAAGTAATCCTCCTGCCTTGGCCTCCTAAAGTGGTGGGATTATAAGCATGAACTGCCATGCCTGGCTCACCAGGAGTATTCTAGATTTCCTAAAACCTTGTGTCAAACTTCATATTATAAGACTTTCATTTTTAAAATCAATTTGGTGGGTATAAAATATACCTATTTGTTATTTTATTTTGCTTTTCCTTAATTATTAGTGAGATTGACCAATTTTTTCATATGTTTATTGGCCATTTCTGGATCCTCTTCTGAACTGACTGCTCATATTTCCTTGTGACTTACAGGAGATTTTATATCTTTATATATCTTGGGTATCACTGTTTGGAACACATTAAAAAAAACTTTTTAATTGAAGTAAAACATATACATATAAAATGCAGAAATCATAAGTGGACAAGCTTGATGGATTATCAGAAAACAAACATACATTTTAATTATTTTTCCCCATGAAGTTCAAGAAAGAAAACAGTGCTAGCTCCTCTGAAGGCCTGCCTCTTCCATCTTGCAAAACTATGCCTACCTAGTCACCCCAAATAACCACTTTCCGGATTAATACTATCATAGATTAGATTTGCCAGTTTTCAAATTTTGTTTAATTTGAATAAAATCATATGTAATATTTATGTCTAGTTTATTTGGCTCAAGAGCAAACCAGTGGAATTATCCATGCTGTTGCATGTGGCTATATTTCATTCATTTTCATTGCTGTACAGTATACTGTTTCATCATTATTGTTGTTAGCCTTTTGAGTCATTTCCAATTTCTGGGTCTTAGAAACAAAGCTGTATGAACACTTTTCTCACTTATGAATGCAATTTTATAGGGCATATTGCATGAGAGTGAAATAGTTGGGCCATAAGAGTATGTAGAAAATGCCAAAACATTTTCCATATTGATGTGCCAATTTACAGTTCCAGCAGCAGTGTATAAGAGTTGTTTATGCTCCTATGTCTGACAACACATGGTACTATTAGTCTTTTAAATTTTTGCTGTTTGGATAAATAAGTAATTGTGTTTCATTTCAGCTTTAATAACAAATGATAATGCTGATATTCTTTAAATTTTTTTTCTTGGCCCTTGGGTGTGTGTGTGTGTGTGTGTGTGTGTGTGTGTGTAATTTTTTTGAGTACTTGCTGGTGAACTTTTTTTTTTTTTGAGACAGAGTCTTGCTCTGTCACCCAGGCTGGAGGGCAGTGATGCAATCAGAGTTCACTGTAACCTTGAACCCCTGAGTTCAAGTGACCCTTCTGCCTCAGCCTCCTGAGTGCCTACAGGATACCTTGTCCAGGAGATACCATTTTTTTTTTCTGTGAAAAGCCAAATAATAAATATTTTAGGCATTGTAGGCCAGATGGTCTCTGTTTCAACTACTCAACTCTGCTTTAATGGCACAAAACCAGTTGTAGACAATATAGAAATGAAGGAGTGTGGTTGTGTTTAAATAACATTTTATTTACAAAAACAGATGGTGAGCCTCATTTGGCCCATGGGTGGTTTGCTAACCTTGTCTTGTCTATTTCTCATTGATTTGTAGTAGTTCTTTATGTATCTAGATATCAGTAATTGTTACAATGTGTTCTTCTAAGCAATGGCTAGCCTTTCTATTCTGGTAATGAGGTCTCAACTTCTTAGTTTTAATGCAGTCTAATGTATCGATTTTCCTTTGTGATTGGTACTTTCTGTGACTTAAGAATCTTTTCCTACCCCAAGGTAAAAAGATATTTTCCTACATTTTCTTCTAGAAGTTTCATTATTTTTCTTTTTCCACTGAATTTTAATGTAGTGTAGTGTTGGTAGGGTCAAGTGGAATTTTTTTTCTGTATGGACTTAATAGTTTATCTGTTCTTTTCACATTGCTTTGCATGCCACCTCTGACTTAAAGCAAATTGCTCTTTGTGTGTAGATCTGTTTTGGAACGTCTGTAGTGTTTCCTTCTATTTCTTTTCTCTCTTTTTATTTTTTTGAGACAGAGTCTCAAAAAAATACAGGGCAGTGGCATGGTCTTGGCTCACTGCAACCTCTGCCTCCTGGGTTCAAGCAATTCTCCTGCCTCAGCCTCCAGAGTAATTGGGATTACACATGCCGGCCACCACATCTGGCTAATTTTTTGGATTTTTAGTAGAGACAGGGTTTCACCATTTTGGCCAGGCTGGTGTCAAACTCCTGACCTCAAATGATCCACCTGCCTTGGCCTCCCAAAGTACTGGGATTACAGGCGTGAGCCACTGCACCTGGCCCTTATCCTTTCTAATTATTATGGCATTAGGTAACTCTTGCAAGTTTTGTGTAAGTTCTCTGCTTTTTTCCTTTTCTGAAATGTTGCCTTGGCTATTCTAACTTCTGTTTATGCAGCACTTGGAGAGGGACTCAAGAGTTATGACTAGCAATCCTAAGAGATTCGATCCTATGGGTCTTTTAAAAATTCAGATGTTCAGCCTCACCCTCTACTAACTGAAGCAGATCACACATGGGTGGGGCTCAGATGCCTTTATTTTTAAAACAACCCTTGGGCTTGTGAAGGTAGGTGAAATCTGGGGGCCAGCAGTGTTAAGCAGGAGAGATCATCTGATACTGTACTACCTGCTCAGATTTGGTGACTCAGGTACGGCTGTTTTTGTCACGACCTTGTGCTCAGTCCTGGAATCACTCTTTGGGCCTCAATGTTGTCATCTGTAAAACCAGAGGGTTGGAATCAATTCTGCAAGTATTTGGAGTCTGTGATCTTCCTGGTCCTGTGCCAAGCGCTGTCATATGTCTTCAAAGAAGTTACAGTTTATCAGAGGAAGCAGACAAATAAACTAAGAATTTTATTACAGCATGAGAAGAACATAAAGAAAGCAAAATTAGAGTAGACCCTGGAATGTCTGTGGCTATGCTTCCTGGAAAAGGTGCCTTTGAACTGTGCTTAATTAGCCTGGTGGATATGGGAAAGGTCAGTAATTACAGGGAAGCAGCAAGTGCAAAGGCATTGAGTTAGAAAGAGAATGGTGTTTGGGGGCGTTGGTTAGAGTTTAGGGTACGTGTAGAAAGATGGTGCTAGAAAATAAAGACCATTTATGCCAATCTAAAGAATTTTGGCAGTGAATCCTACCATCAGGAGAATGGCACGAGCAAATTCACATTTGAGAAAAGTCCTTTTGTAGGTACCAGTGAATACATGCGAAGGGCTTGAGGATGGTAGCATGCTGATCATTTGGACTATCCTAGAAATCAAGTTAAGAGTGGGGTTCATTTCAGAAAGTTATAAAGTAGAACTGATAAAATAAGAGAAAAGGAGGGGGAGAGGAGGTGGGAGAACTCATATCTGAGGGCCTCTATTTTTTTCTAATTGTAAGAAGACATTACGGCGAAAATTTAAAAGAGTAATGTAAGTAAATAGATGGTGACACAAAGAATTTCTAAGGTGAAGACATTGAATTTATAGTGGTACCAAGATGCCCGTTTATGTGATTATCTCCTATAGTGCTCTGCTCATCTGGCTGGAAGCATGTAGCAGAGAGATGAAGGGATCCATTAGAATGGGGGCTTTGCAGGTGAAGATGCTGGAAGGACTGAGGGCTACAGAGTTGAGGTACTGGAAGGGAAGTGATTGAAGTGATGGACACATGAGTCCAGGATGGACAGGAAAGGAAATGATAGCTGAACCAGCCTAGAACTTAGAAGAAAATAGAGAGGTCAGGTCGGCTAATCCAAGTTAAGATAGAAAAGTGAGTTGAATGGATCAAAAGTTCAGGTGGAAAATTGTGATGCCCACAGTGAGTAGACATTCACCATCCATGGTGAGGCCTTTTGTCTTGTAGAGGCCTTAAAGCTAAAAAGTCACAAGAACGAAACAACCAAACCACCTTACATTTTACTGAGTCACTTACTGCTAAGGCTCTGGATGGAATTCCATGTCTCCAGCTGGCTTCACTGAAAGGTGAAGGTAAGGATGGTGCATCTTCCTGGCTTTTCTACTGGAAATCACGGCCCTGGAGACATGGAAATTTCTCCAGCAGTATTGAAGTGCCTAGTCTCCAGTTTTGTGGGAGCTGAGTCTTCTGGTTTATTTGTCAGGGTGGCTCTTCCTGATGTGGCATGGCTTGACACACTGGAGTTGCGTAAGTGGCACCCCTGGTCTCTGAATTGCACGTGGTATCAATTCCCCACTTTCAGGGTTGTGGTAGAGATCGCAGGTCTCAGGGAAAGCTACTTCTGCAGTGTGGTTCTGGCCTCGATGCCCCTTCCTAAGCACCTTCACAGATTTTGCAAAGCATCTAGTATCTTGTCTTGCATTCTTTTCCGCATGTAATACAGAATGGTTTTTGTTTGCTAAATCCAGACAGAGGTATATGACCTCATGGCTCTGTTTCAAAGATTAAATGACCTAATCTATCCATGAAACATTTAGTTCAACATGAGTACATAATGAGTACCTAAAAAATAAATATTGGAGATTATTATTTAGTTAAAGGAATGAGTGAGCTGGAATAGGGAATCAATCAGAAAGTAGTATATTTAATTTTAATAATTTGGAGACAGGGGTTCTGGTTAATGGCAAATCCCTATGGCAAATCCTGGCTTATGTATGGGAGGATTGAAAACTGAGAGAAGTCTCTAGGAAGTCTTCGAAACTGAAGAGCTGACAAAGGACAAGTTTTGGGTATTAAGACATCTGTGTATACCTGGAAAAGCAGTAATGTCTCCAATTTGGTTTTTGTTTCAATCCCAAATTACTCTTCAGCACAGCAGTTTTGGGCCCCTATCACTGCTCAATCTGAACTTGCTAAAGTTACTTCGGGCTCTCCAGTTGCTAAATTAACATTCATTTTCAGCCAGATTGTGGCATTCAGCACTGCTGGGCACTCCCATCAGCCGGGAACTCCCTTCTCATTTCTTTATAAGACTTACTGATTCTCTGTCTCTGCTTATCATTTTTGTTTCTGGCGCTTCCTTTGTAATCATCACTGAGTTCTTTTCCTCTATATGTGGGTCGTATGATTTGGGGTTCCCCATGGTTTCAGCCGTGGTCACCTTCTATGCTCACTTTGCTTACATTCAAGTGGATGATTTATAGAACCATCCATTTGGCTCTGTATTCTCCATATGGCTCCCAATTCTCTTCCACTTTGAGCCTTCTTCCAAACTCCAGATTCTTTTGTCCAGCAGTCTAATATATGTTCTCCTTAGACCCTCCCATCCCTACTGCTCACCCAATGCACCGTGGTTAGAGCTATTTTTTAATCTTACCCCAAATAGGATAATTTTTTTCCCATTTCTTTGCATTCCTTCTTCTACCTAATAACACCTTTGCATACCTAAGTCCTGCTCCCTCTGTGTATTCCAAAATTGTCACTAAATTTTGTGGATTGAAATTGCTTAAAATCATTGTTTTTTGTTTTGTACCTGCTATCCCTACTGCCCTGCCTTTGTTTAGGTTCCATTTGGCCTCAGTTTATGGAACTAAAGTCTAAATTGCTTATATTTAGATTTTATTTAAAAATATTAGATTTTATTTAAATCTAAAGGGTCTTTAGCATTGCACTGTTTTAATCCTTTACTACATGGCAACTGAAGGATCTCTCCCAAAAGAAAATCTGATTATCTTATTCTCTTGCTCAGAAAGCTTCTGATGCTCAACTCCTCTTCAAAGATTTATATGACAGGGCTCCTGACTGCCTCACCAGTTTTATCTCCATCACGCTTCTGTACCCACTGCATCTTAGCAAGAATTCTCAGGCTATTTTATGTCTCTGAAATATTGTACCTGCTGGGTCAGGAGTTTTCTTCATGATGCCTGGAATATATAAGGTATTCAAATGTGGACTCTATTGTTCTTAATATTTTAATCTTAAATCTTGTTAGTGAGACATTACCCTAAAGATTTTGAATTTAAATCCAAGCTTGTTTCAAATTTAAACTTTGAAATAATGTTCCAGTGGATCAGAATAGAGGCAGTCCAACTTACAGCAAAGTGACGGAATGGCCCTCAGCTGTCAAGGCTGAACTTTAAGATGATTAAAATAGTCACATCTTGAAAGAAAGAATGAATCAATCAGAAGGAGATGTAGGTGATGGGGAGGAAGGCAGCAAATCACACTGCCATGTGTGTACCTATGCAACAATCTTGCATGTTCTTCACATGTATCCCAAAACCTAAAATGCAATTTAAAAAAAAAAAAGAGAGAGAACTGCTCGACCATGGAAGCACAGAAAGGGAGGCCCAGAGACTGTGCCTAGCCAGGGACTATCCAGGGAGGACTGTCCAGGGAAGAGGTTTATGAAGTCCAAGGACTAAACATTGTGCTTTGTTTGGGCTGAGTGCATGGCTTATGCCTGTAATCCTAGCACTTGGGGAGTCTAAGGTGGGCAGATTCTTTCAGCCCAGGTGTTTGAGACCAGCCTGGGCATCATGGTGAAACCCCGTCTCCATTAAAAAAACAAAATAGGGCATGGTGGCAAATACCTGTAGTCCCAGCTACTCAAGAGGCTGGAGTAGGAGAATCCCCTGAGCAAGAACCTGTCTCAGGAAAAAAAAGTGCCTGTCTGTATCCTAAGGAAGACATCACAATATCAGAGTCAGATGCATTCACACATCTAACGCTGATTAGTAATTCCCATTTCGTTTGATAAGCAGTTGTCAGAATTGGTTTCCAATGCCAGGTATTTACAGGGAAATAATGTAAGCCTTCTAGGAAGTAACATTTCACATTACAAATGAACATTAATTATAATGTTTATAATAATTAATGTGGCATTAATTATTTATTACATCCTGCTGGGTGGCTCTATTCATGCTGCTCCAAGGGTGGAGAACGAAGTGTGACTCTGAACTGCCTAGGTGAGGAGAGAGCTTCACACTTGGGCAGTTAAATATTTATTCAATTAGGGGTTTGCATGTTGATTTTATCTTTTAGACTGTGCACTTCCCGAGGAGAGGGACTGCATCTTAGTGCTACATGGCCAGGTCCGTCACAGTGCAAGCAAACTGCAGGAACTCAAACGTTTGAATGAACAAATGGACTCAATTAGCTAGGCAGTCACTCTGTGGAGTGTAGCTTCTTGAAGGACAGGGAACATGTTTGGGAAAATTCAGAAGTGGGCCCAAGGAATGAAAGAAGTGATTATTAACATGAGAGTGTAAGCCTAGGACAGGACAGAGGAATGGTGAGGCTTGCCTTCTGGGTGTCTGCAAGCATTCCTGAGACTCACTAGTCTTCTGGTTGGTTGGGTGTGAGGTTGTTGCCTTGTTCATGGGGGAGGCATGGGGAGTGTGAGAAGTGATGTGACATCTGCCCTCCATAAACTTGGCCAGCATCCTTTGGTCACGGTTCAGCCCTTCAAATTGGATATTGGTGAAAAACTATTTTGGATTTCTATAAAGTCCAATGCTTGATAAATGCAGAAAGTGTAATTGGTACCGCAATGCAGTGGGAGCAGTCACCATTCACCTGGGTTTCCAGTAAAGGGACTTGGGCCATTAAGTGGTAGTCTGCTGGGAGACATCGGTCCCTGAAGGTGGAGGACGTTCATATCCTTTTGCCAAAAACTTACCCAGGCTCAGTTTTCCTTTGTGAAGTCTTCCTCCCAACTCACATAGGCCATTCTTCCCTCAACTCCTGCTAAACTTAATGTTTGTATAACTCACTTTAGCCTGTAAAATATTCTTTGTCAAATCTGTGTACATCTATATACACACACTTGAACATGTATATATATACACACACATATATATACACATTATAAACAAACTGGGCAAGTAATTCTGCTGTGTTTATCTATCCATCTATCTATCATTAATCTATCATCTATCTATTTTTCTATTTACTCACTTTGCTAGCTATCTGTGGTCTTCCAGTTAGATTGTAGATTACCCTAATTCTAGGGATCACACAGGTTTCTAAGAATTCATTGAATTGAATTTTGTTTTTATTTGTATTAGGACTGTAACGAGATTAAAGGGGAGCGGTTCACTCATTTGGAAACCAAGCTTTTTGTGAGCAACGTCTCGCCAGAGGACAGAGGGAACTATGTGTGTCAGACCATACTGTTACACTCGGGGAAGAAGTACAAGGTTTCAAATAGCATCACTGTGAGCACCAGTAAGTATGCTCATGCATGCCTGTTGCCTTGTCTTCTCTTGGCTTTGTGCGAACTGGCTTCCAGCTTTGGACTTTGGGTAGGAGTGATTCTAGGTCTTGATTTTCCTGAAGGCTAGCAGAGTCTCAGACCTGCCACTGTTAGAATCAGAAGCTGGGAGGAGTGAGGCAGAAGGACATGAGCAGCTTAGTCCCCTCATCTGAACAACAGAACGCTCAAAACTCTTGGTTGATTTGTGAGAATTAAATGAGATCATGCACATAGACTAGCTTCTGGAGTGCCTGATGAAACACAGGTATTTAGAAACTGGTAGATGTGATGAACGTGACTCTCATTTCAGCCGAGGTCTCCCCTGCCTTGAGTGCTGCAGAGCTCAGAGTTCTGGATATGGTCCTGGGATATCCTGCTGTGCATGGGACCTGTGTTCTCAGGCCAGAGCAGCCAGCTCTCTTGAACATAAGCCCTGGAGGTTTGAAAGTAGAGCCTTAGGGGAAGAAAATCCCTAAAAGTAATTTAGTTCAAACCACTAATTTAATTTAATTTTTAAAATTTTCAATTTGCGTGGGTACATAATAGGTGTATATATTTATGTGGTACATGAAATGTTTTGAATACAGGCATGCAATGTGTAATAATCACATCATGGAGAACGGGGTATCCATCCTCTCAAGCATTTATCCTTTGATTTACAAATAATTCAATTACCCTCTTTAAGTTATTTAAAAATGTACCATTAAGTTATTATTGACTATAATCACCCTATTGTGCTATCAAATAGTAGGTCTTATTCATTCTATATTTTGTACCCATTAACCATCCCCACTTCTCCCCTCATTCCCCCTACTACACTTCCCAGCCTCTGGTAACCCTAGTTCTACTCTCTGTGTCCATGAGTTCAATTGTTTTGATTTTTAGAACCCAAAAATACGTGAGAACATATGATGTTTGTCTTTCTGTGCCTGGCTTATTTTTTTTAACATAATGATCCAGTCCTATCCATGTAGTTGCAAATGGCAGGATCTCATTCTTTCTCACGACTGAACAGTGCTCCCTTGTGTATATGTACCACATTGTTTTTATCTATCCATCTGTTAATGGACACTTAAGTTGCTTCCAAATCTTCGCCATTGTAAACAGTGCTGCAACAAACATCGGACTGCAGTTATCGCTTCAATACACCGATTTCCTTTCTTTTGGGTTTATACCCAGCAGTGGGATTGCTGGATCATATGGTTGCTCAATTTTCAGTTTTTTGAGGAACCTTCCAACTCTTCTCATAGTGGTTATACTAATTTACATTCCCACTGACAGGGTACAGGGCTTCTCTTTTCTCCACATCCTCAGCAACATTTGTTATTGCCTGTCTTTTGGACATAAGCTGCCTTAACTGGGTTGAGATGATCTCATTGTAGTTTTGATTCCTACTTCTCTGCTGACCAGTGATGTAGAGCACCTTTTCTTATGCCTGTTTGCCATTTGTATGTCTTCTTTTGAGAAATGTCTATTCAGATCTTTTACCCATTTTTTGATCAGATTGTGTTTTTTTTTCTATAGAGTTGATTGAGCTCCTTATAACATTCTGCTTATTAATCCCTATGGGTGGTTTGCAAATATTTTCTCCTCCTCTGTGGGTTGCCTTTTTGCTTTGTTGATTCTTTCCTTTGCTGTGCAGAAGCTTTTTAACTTGATGTGATCCCATTTGTCCATTTTGTGCTTATGTAGTATTGCTTAAGAAATTTTTTGCCCAGACCAAATAGTGCAGATTAAGTCAGATGTTTCTTTGTTGATTTTCTGTCTGGAAGATCTGTCCAGTGCTGAAAGTGGAATTTTGAAGTCTCCAGCTTTTATTGTATTGGAGCCTGTCTCTCTCTTTAGCTCTAATAATGTTTGCTTTTAAATCTGGGTGCTTCAGTGTTGGGTGTTATGTCCTCTTGCTGAATTGACCTTTTTATCTTTATACAGTGACTTTGTCTTTTTTTTTTTTAATAGTTTTTGTCTTGAAATCTATTTTCTCTAATTATAGCTACTCTTGCTCTTTTTTGTTTTCAATTGGCACGGAATATCTTTTTCCATCCCTTTATTTTCAGTCTATATGTGTCTTTATAGGTGAAGTGTGGAAACAATCAATGGGTTTTATTTTTTTATTCATTCAGCCATTCTATGTCTCTTTATTGGAGGGTTTAGTCCATTTACATTTAATGTTATTATTGGTAGATAAGAACTTACTCCTGCCATTTGTTTTCTGCTTGTTTTGTGGTCTTCTCTTCCTCCTTTCTTTCCTTCCTGTCTTCTTTTAGTGAAGGTGATTTTGTCTGGTGATATGATTTGGTTTCCTGCTTTTTAGTGTCTCTATTGTATGTTTTCTGGTTTGAGGTTTCCATGAAACTTGAAAATATTATTTTATAACCGATTATTTTAACCTGATAACAACTTAATATTGTTTGCATAAACAAACAAGCAAAAAGAAAGCTTGTAAATATTATTTTATAACCTATTATTTTAACCTGATGACAACTTAATATTGTTTGCATAAACAAACAAGGAAAAATAAAACTAATAAAAATTCTACATTTTAACTTTATCCCTCTACTTTTTAACTTGTTGTTGCTTCTATTTATATCGTTTTGTACTGACCACATCTTGAAAAGTTGTTGTAGTCATTATTTTTAACTGATTCATCATTTAGTTTTTCCACTTAGGATAAGAATAGTTTCACACCACAGTTACAGTGTTAAAATATTCTGTGTTTTTCTATGTATTTATTATAATCCGTGAGTTTTGTACCTTTGGGTGATTACTTATGGCTCATTAATGCCCTTTTCTTTCTGATTGAATTACTCCCTTTAACATTTCTTGTAGGACAGTTTGGTGTTGATGAAATCCTTTATTTTTTGTTTGACTGGGAAAGTCTGTTTCTTCTTCATGCTTGAAGGTTATTTTTGTGGCTATACTATGCTAGGGCAAACGTTTTTAAAATGCGTTATGACACTCTCTCCTGCCCTATAAGGTTTCCACTAAAAAGTCTGCCGCTAGATGTGTTAGAGCTCCATTGTATGCTATTTGTTCCTTTTCTCTTGCTGCTTTTAGAGCTCTTTATTTATCCTTGACCTTTGGGAGTGTGATTATGAAATGCCTTAAGGTAGTCTCCTATGGATTAAGTCTGCTAGGTGTTCTACAGCCTTCTTGTATTTGAGTACTGATATCGTTTTCTAGATTTGGGAAGTTCTGTTATAATCCCTTCAAATAAACTTTCTACTCTTTTCTCTTTCTCTACCTCGTCTTTAAGGCCAATAACTCTTAGATTTTCCCTTTTGAGGCTATTTTATAGATCCTGCATGCATGCTTTATTGTTTTTTATTCTTTTTTATTTCATCTCATTTGGCTGTGTATTTTCAGATAGCCTGTCTTCCAGCCTGCTAATTCTTTCTTCTGCTTGATACATTCCACTATTAAAGGACTCTGATGCATTCTTTAAAATGCCAATTGCATTTTTCCATTTCCAGAATTTCTGCTTGATTTTTAGAAAATTATTTCAATCTCCTTGTTTATCTGATAGAATTCTGAATTACTTTTCTGTGTTACCTTGAATTTCTTTGCCTTTCCTCAACACAGCTATTTCGAATTCTCTGTCTGAAACATCACATATCTCTGTTTCTCCAGGATTGGCCCCTGGTGTCTTACTTAATTCATTTGAGGAGGTCATGTTTTCCTGGATGATGTTGATGCTCGTTGATGTTCTTCAGTGTCTGAGCGTTGAAGAGTTAGGTATCTATTGTAGTCTTCACTGTCTCGGCTTATTTGTACTTGTCCTTCTTGGGAAAGCCTTCCAGATATTCAAAAGGGTTCAAGCGTTTTGATCTAAGCTGTATCTGCTTTAAGGGGCATCCTAAGCCCAGTAATGCTGTGCTTCTTGCAGACTTGTAGAAATACTGCCTTGATGATCATGGACAATATCCGGGAGAATTCTCTTGATACCAGGAAGAGACTGGTTCTTTTTCCTTACTTTCTCCCAAACAAACCAGAGTCTCTCTGTCTTTTCTGAGCCACCTAAAGCTGAGTGTGATGTGACACAAGCACCACTGTGGCCATGACCACTATGACTGCTGGGTCAGACCTAAAACCAGCACAGCACTGGATCTTGCGCAAGGCCTGCTTTACCCTCTCCCTGGCTATTGCTTATGTTTGCTTAGGCCCTGGTGCTGTACAGTCAGCTGGTGCCAAAGCCAGCCAGGCCTGTGTTCCTTCCATCATGGCTGATTGCCACTGGTGAGGTCTCTCAGGCCCTGGGTGGATCCAAAGGTGCCGTCTAGGAGTCAGGGATTAGAGTAAACAAACCTTAGAAGTCTAACAAGTGTTTTTTTTTGTTTTTTTTTTTTGTACTGCAGCTGAGCTGGCAGTGAAACCACAAGATGTAGTTCTTCCCACTCTTCCCTTCCCTTTCCAAAAGCAGAAGAGCCTTGCCATCCATAACCACCGCCACTGCCAGCCACAAGGAGTACTGCCAGACTACCACAGATGTTCCTTTAAAGCCCAACAGCTCTTAAATCAGCTTGTGGTGAATGCTGCCTTGCGTGGGACTCACTCTTTAGGGCAGTGGGCTCCCTTCTGGCTCCAGGCATGTGCAGAAGTGCCATCCAAGATTCAAGTCCTAGAATCAGGGACTTCAAGACCTTGCTTTGTGATCTACCCCCCTGTGGCTGTGCTAGTACCTAAAGTGCAAGACAAACTTTTCCCTCTGCTTTTCTCAAGCAAAAGGAGTTTTGCCATGTAACCCCCCACAGCTGGTAATGTGCTGAGTCTCACCTGAAGCCAGCAAGTTTCAGAGGCTCATGCAAGGCATTCAGTGTAGTACCTGGAAAATTGCTTCTGATTATTCAGGGCACAGGGGCTCTTCAGTCAGCAGGTGGCGGATGCTGCCAGGACTGAACCCCTTCCTTTAAGGCAGCAGGTCCCCTTTGGCCCGTGGTGTGTCTAGAAATGTTGGCTGGAAGGCCTGGAACAT